ACTTGATACAAAATCTAATAGCATAAAGTACCTGTAGACCACACTCTATAGAGATTTTATATTTCATTCCCTTCTCACGATAATAGTAGTAGGTAATAAAATTCCCTCATTAAATAATTAATTGTTCGTCTAATTAATTCCGATTAGCCGACCGTAACAAAATATGGCACATACAAACATTTATGTGCACCACATAGATAATAAATGTGCAAAAGTATACGATTATATATTGATGCAGAACCGTTGCAAAATGTGAAAAAATCGCCAAAAATTAATGATGCCGAAGAAAGAAGGCACCGTGTAAATATCTTAGTAGAATCTCATATAAAATTAATAAGAATTAGTACATGAAGTTACAGTTTCATAAAAAAATTTATTTTACAACTTAATCTCAGGATTCATTAAAATAAATCACATTCATCAACAACTTCTAATACTTCAACAATCCTACACAGATGATTTATAAATTATCTGCAAAACAACCTTTATATCATCTAACTTCATATCTATGTGCTACCACAGAGCCATCTGTCTAACTGACCCGCACTAATGAAAAAACACTAGTTAGTTTTTTATACTCAAAACCGACGAAAATAATTTTCGCCCAAAAAATATTGATATAAGATTACCTATATATTTAATATTAGATTATATATAATGTAGTGGATATGCACCCATTTGTAATAAGTATAAATGAATATTAGAAATATAACGGTCAGAATACAAACTACGCAGTTGTAGTGAATTACTCATGCTACAACATTGTGAGCTCGAGATATCCTTTGCATCATAACACGTGTTTAACAATAACGGTCTTTTCCAAGGCTTTCTAACCGCAAGTGCGTATTACATTTTGAAATTCCATTGTTAAATACAATTTATGTTGAAGTAATCAAGTGTACAAGAAGTTATAAAATAAACAAATACATCAAACGTCTTCATCTGTTTTGCTGATGAGCCTCCATTAATTTAATATTAGAATATATAATGTAGTAGATATGCACCCATTTGTAATAAGTATAAATAAATATTGCAAATATAACGGTCAGAATACAAACTATACGCAGTTGTAGTGAATTACTAATGCTACAACATTGTAAGCTCGAGATATCCTTTGCATTGTAACACGTGTTTAACAATAACGGTCTTTTTCAAGGCTTTCTAACCGCAAGTGCGTATTATATTTTGAAAATCCATTGTTAAATATAATTTATGTTGAAGTAATCAAGTGTACACGAAGTTATAAAATAAACAAATACATCAAACGCCTTCATCTGTTTTACTCATCAGCCTCCACAGTTTGGTAATAGCTTTGTTTAGCAGCAGAAAGAACCTATATATAATGTTGACACCATTGGCATAACAATAGATTAATTTAAAAAAAATATAACTCCAGATAGTTTTTTATATTCAAAACCGAGGAAAATTATTGGAAATTCTAAATGGAAATGGAGTTTCTAAAAAATAGACAATGCATTTTTGTGTAAAATATTTGTTTAAGATTAATATATAAGGTATACAATGGATTTAAAAAAATAGTTTGATTTTAAACAATATTTTGCCTAAATCCGACCCTGTATAAAGAGTGCAATATAAAATATGATAATCAGAAGTGTAAGATGTTGTTATGATAGAACATGGAAGTAATAATGTATGTAATAAAGTAATAATATATCGTGTATGCGCGTACTTGGCCCTTCGTACTATTTATAGTTGTATCTTTTTAACCGTTCGATTAATGTGAATGATGTGTGAGAGAAATTTGTGCAGAATTAAACTATCTATAAGATTGTCTAATATTATGATGACCTAGAGCAAATCATAAAAGATACTTAACATAGAAAAAAGAAATGCTTTGGGTAGTTGTTTATGATGAATCGCGCAGTTGACTAGTAAATCTCGAACAACTATTGAAACATTCGATTAATATTGATGATGTGTTAGACTTGCTGATTCAAAATTGAATAATCTATAACTTTTATAAATACCAACAACTCTACAGCAACTTGGTAACTTTTAAAATGGGATTATAGAAAACAGTTTTTCTTCTGTGCATCACTTTAGTATAACCCTTGTAACTTTAAAACCATTCGATTAAATTACCTGCAACATTGTCTATTACCATAATGCCCTACAACAGCTCGGTGTACTCATAATCTGCATCAACAGAGCAATAAGCAAAATGCAAAGAAAAATCCAATTGGAAAGTTTTCACCGACGCACTCTCCAATCAGATTCTAATAAGCTTCCTAATAAAGATAAATCTTAAACATTTCCTGCGAATAAGATTTCTTATTTCTTTTTTCCTTGTATAGTTTTTTTTATTTTTGTATAAGACTTTATATAATGTTGTTATGAATATTTCATTGAAAATAATATAAGCATACATAGAACTTTAGATTTATTTGCTTATTAAAAAAAGAAATGACAGTAAATAGCGTTGTAATAAATTAAAAACAGTTTAGATACAAATGCATTTTATAGTTCAAATTATAATTAAAACAAAAACGATTTTTGCGCGATCCAAAAGCACTTCGAAAGAGTATTCAAGGTCATTGATCCATCTCTCATATGAACAATGTTTATATAAAGCTCAGACATTTGATTTTTTTCCAAAATACAATCAATTTTTGCTGGATTCAAAGACTTCCCAATCTTTTCAAGATGATTCACATTAACTATGTATTCAGAAATATCCATACACCACTAGTTCCTTCATTGCGAACTAAGTCAAAATTTAAATACAATTACAAGAAAAGAAAATAAAAAAATCGTGTGAACTAATTGTGTAACTATAAAACATGTCGTTCTTTTATGTAATCTATTTTTTTTTTCATAATAATTATTATCTTATAAACAATATAAAAGGAATTCACATGATCATGTGCACATGTGCACAAGTCACGACACACTGATAAAAAATAATAAGATTGTTATAAATACACATTAAGAAATTAAAATTGCAATAAATAGAAAGAATATAAAAAAAAATTGGAATTGTTGTAAAATATCTATTTCTGTAAGATACTTTTTGATTTCCTATACGCTAACTGTCTTATTATTATGAGACATAAAAAACGATCTAACATTTAAGAGCATATTAGATTAATATCTAACATTTATTTAAAAAATATATAATCAAGTAGTATAATAAAATTAGTATTAAAATTTCACCAGACCTGATACCCAGCTCTCAAACTATTTTTCTCATTTTGTCGACTGATTTGTTATAGTGTAACCCTAAATTTTCACACTCCTATAAAAATTTTACCTGACCTTTCATCCCTAAACCTATTTTTCTAATTTGTAATGCGAAACACGACCCTATATTTTCACACTCCTATTAAAATTTTACCAGACCGTATATCCATCCCTAACACTATTTTACTAATTTTGTCGACTGATTTGTATAGTTTATTTTTTTGTATTGCAGAACACAACCCTAAATTTTCACAGTCCTATTAAAATTTCACCCGACCTGATATCACAGACCTTACATACTACACGAACCGCTAGTCTTCATATGTTTTCCTTTTTATAAAGTGTCAAAAGATGGAAAGGAACTGTGACGTCACTTAATGAACGAGCGTTGCAGACAATCGTGGACACTACCAATTGATTAAATGTCATATTACATTATGATGTATAATATATAATACAATATGTAATATTCACTATTGTTTATGTAAATCGAGCATAAATATTTACTTTTAGATTAAGCACGTGACATATGACATTTTATCAATCGGGAGTTCTCCACGATTGTCGGCAATGCTCGTTAACTAAGTGACGTCACAGTCCCTTCAAACCTTTGACACTTATTTTGCTATGCCTGATATCCTCTCTACCTACCACTATTTTTCTAATTTTGTCTACTGATTTGATATAGTTTATTTTTTCGTATTGAGGAACATAACCCTAAAATTTCACACTCCTACAGCTGATCAATTTTGTGATCAATTTCTCAGCTTTTTTACTTTCCGTAAGGTAATTATTGTAATCGCCCAAAAATCGAAATTGAAAATTTTTGCATATCTTCACGTTTTGATGGTTTCTGAACATTTTGGTATACCTCACAAAAAATGAATGAGTGTAGGTATGGATACAATTTCTCGTCCACGTTTTCCGACGCACGGATCAACCGATTTGAATGGTTCAAAAAAACATTCGATTCCTACTGATGAAGGAACTTGCTGATTAGTTTTTGGCAAAGGCAGGATCAGCCGTTACGGAGATAAAGAGCTAAGAGTGCAGAAAATAAAAACGAGTTTTTGAGAGATCGGGCATCTGATTTGAATGATTCAAAAAATATTCAATTCCTAATGATGGGGAGAAGTGGTGATTAGTTTTTTGGCAAAGGCAGTTCCAGCCCGTTCGAAGATATGGAGCTAAGTGTGCAAAAGTGGCAGTTTTTGAGAGAACTAAGCATCCGATTTGAATGATTCAAAATGCTTGTGTTGACGAACGATTGCTATTGAGAAAAGAACTTTCTTTTTAATTTCCAAAGAATATTTTTTTTACTAAAGTTTATTCTTCGAATTATGGTACGGGACGTTCCAGCAATTTGCCTTAAGGCACGATGCCACATCACTAGTTATCATTTTTTTCGCCCAATTTCCTTTATTTTTTTTATTTGTAAGACGAAGTTTAAAAATACACATAACCCTAAATTTTCACCCACCTAAATGATAATCGAAGAATCTCATGGGTGTGCTCTATTTTTTATAATAATAATTTACAATTTTACAATACAATATTAATAAACATATTAAGACGTAAAAAATAACGTCTAATAAAATTATTTCTTATTCTTATAAGATTCTTAATAATCAGAAATCGTATCAAAATCTTATAAGATTTTGTGTGCGATGACATAAAAATGAAAGATAATATAGATATATTTATAATAAGATATAAAAAAATGAACTTAAACTTATTCCAGTATTATCTAATTATTAAAAATATAATTTAAAAAAATATATAATATTGAAAAAATGTACCTCCCACTGCGCAAAACTGCAGGCACGTACGCCACTGGCACCACTTGTTGTTCTTTTGTGTTTTGCACCATTTTTATTAAAAAATGTTCAAATTTAATTTTTTTTAATAACAATTCATGTCACATTTAATTAAAAAAACACACTATTTAACCCACTCTTTCACAAACCATCACAATGAAAACACTGCAAAAATTTACAATGATTGGTATTAAAAAAAAATAATTTTAATTATAAACCCCAAAGATAAAATAAGATTATATAATGGTATGTTTTGCTTAAAATCTTTTTAGAATCTTATTGGTGTTACAAAAATTGGTATTATGTAAAAAAAAACAGCGCACTTCTAATTTTTTTAAAACGATTTGTAAAACAAAAAGTAAATTTGTCCCAGAATTGGCCCATAAAATGTGAAAACTATTTAGACTTTATTTAGATAAATATGTTTTTTTTATTATTTTTATTTTAAAAGATCAATAAGAATTTATTGAGCGTGACGGAAGAGATATCAGTTTAGTTTCTAAATCAACATAGTCACACTCCATTTACTCTACTCACATCGAAAAATCTAAACAAATCTAAAAAAAATTAGTCGTTACCACTGCAAAAATATTTTTTATAAAAAATAGAATTATTAAAAAAATTATTCTAATTAAAAGTTACAGTGTGAGAACGCATTTCACTCCATTACTCTATTCACATCGAAAAATCTAAACAGAATCTTAAAAAAAACTTAAGTTGCTACAACTGCAAAATTATTTTTAATATAAAATAAAATTAAAGGGTCCGCCATCTAACTTTTGCAGCCATTTTGAGTCTTTAGCATCCATTT